ACCAAGACTCAGTTGAGTTTCAATTGGCAATTTACTGAAAAAAAAAGCTCCCCACATCTCTTGAGCTCAAAGAGCAAAAAAAGCCTAGAAGAGCATAATTCTGGAGAATGACCACTCACCTATAAAACCCTCAGTGAACAAGTGAGCTGCCATCAAGGAACAGGACAGGACCACATGCAACTCAAAATAAACTGCCCAACTCTCCTGGAAGACAGTATGTGACGTTAGGGTTAAATGTAAACCATATAAAATTTAAAGGAGGATATGCATAAAGAGCATTTTCAGGTTTTTAACAGAAGGAACCCCGTCCTGTCTCCGCTCCCAGTTTTTGAAGAAAGGACTGCAACAAGGTGAACCTCTTGTTGAATCCTGGTTTCAGTCAAACCCAAAATGAGGACTCTAGCTACATCTGGAATAATGTCAGCAGTGGGACTCTGGAAATGCTAGACAGCCAGAAACAGATAAAGATGAGGGTTAGGTGTAGAAATTATTAGTAGGACTTCATAATTCCCTGCATGTGAATGAAGAGTAAGGCATGTGACAAACAGCAGTGTACTGAAAGATTCAATTGAACAAACACTGTAATATTAAGTGCCTTACCACAAGCCTTGGTTAGTGAACTTGTGCTAATAATCTCTTGGGTCTTCATAAATTAGATCTCCAAACAAAGGCAGCGTCACATAACAGCCTAAAGTTTCTGCATTAGTGCTAATGCTGTAAGGACAAGTCATCACTTGTTGTAAGGTTCAAAATGGTCTACAGCACTGCAGTATGAATGAAATTACATGAAAGCAGCAACTCACCTACATCTCTCCTAGAAAGTATTATGAAATTCAAGTTGGCCACCCCGGATGACGTCATATGCAAATTAGATTAGTAGATTTACACACCACAAACTCTCGGTTATGCCCAACATTTTTCTAATTTACAGTAGATCTCTACCTTTAAGCCCTATTATTGATGTCAAAATCCAGCATTTTTTCCAAAAAACCCTGCTGCCTAAAGGGTTAAGAGCTGATAAATCCATCAGTCATTGAAGGTCAAAGGAGGCTAGAAGAGACGGCATTTCTGCAGCATGAGGCTCATCGAGATGGAGGCCAGAGTCACCAGTGACACCGAGTCACAAGAAAAAGCTGACCTGGAGACAGATATTACAAATGATATTCAATTAGTGCCAATAATTACATTAATTCAAAAAGTACTGTAATCTGGTGGAGAGCAGAGTGCTGATGTGTCCTCTTTTCAAAACCAGGTCTGAGTTAAGAGTGTGGCTACAGCTGGAATTAAGTCAGGTTTGCAAGAGTGAGGGGCAGAAGGACATAGTGCTGTTCTACAAGAACATTTGATATTTAGTCTAATTTAAACGTTATAGTTAGGCACCCTCTTCTGTTCAAAGTTGGGTACTGCATGTAAGGTTGTAGAGTCCTTATATGTCGATGTCATAATCATGTGTCAGATCTTCAGCAGCAGCAGCGACGAGCACGCAGTTATGGCTGCTTTCATTCCCCAGTTTAAGTTCATCCAAAAGGCACATTCGGTATGAATACATTTCTATATAGTGATTCTATGTACTGTATGTTTTGTTAATTCTTTATATGCCGGATGCTAACCTTATTGCCTTTAACGTGCAAATTGTGCAATCTATTTCTGATGAGGCAATGCTAGTTATTCTGTATAAAATACCTTTTTATGTCTTGAGCACGTTATTGATTTACATGCTTATATTTGTATGTTTACGGTTTTACGTCATTCCAAGATCGATAGTAAAGCTGGAGTAAAGATTCTTTGCATCGGTCAACCAAATCAAGCACGTCGTTTGACAAGAGGGCAGAACACCTATGCAAACAGATAATCAAGAGTAGGTCCTGCACTGTAAACACATTCCACCAACTAAAAGAATGTTGGTCAAATTACACGGTTCAAAAGAGTCTGTAGTTTCAAGGAATGTTTTGTTTTACGCAATGTTTAAAAATATACATATATAAAAACTTTAAAAAAAAACAAAAAAACCTAAAGAAAACAGAAAAAAAACAGTACTTGTGCCCACTGCTATGATCTCCTGTCTCCATGTTTGAGGTGCCCCATCTATCTGATATCTGAGCTCAGCAGCAGTGGATTTGCACCTGCAGGTGACTGACTCTACGCACTACCTAGCATTGACTGCAATAAAGGGTCATTCTCCACCACAAAGCTTTCTGGGGAACATGGTTTGACCCAGTAAAGACTGCAATATACAGTGTAGTAAATATTAAGAATCACAGGACGACTCACCTCAGCAGCTGTTGATTTCCCAGGAGGAACCACTATTAACACCGTCAAGAACTCACTGGAACAAAGCAAACAATTCAAAGCTGCATTTGCAACTGATGTTTCTAGAAGTGCAACAGGAACACTGAGCTGCTTGTTGAAATCATATCCATCTGTGAGCTGAAGTGAGGCATTTATAATTAAAGGAGATTAAAATACCTTGGAATGCTATAGCATTGACAGTCAACAACGAACAACGAGAGGGCTTCCATCAAGGAGTGGAGAGGACAAAAAAAAAAAAAACTGAGCTCTTTAAATGTTCAGATTACCTGTAGGAAGACATTGAGTTGACATTGGTAGTTGCTTTAAACCATAGAAACATTAAGAAAAACGAGTTTCTCTACAGATCCTAATTTTAATGGAACCGATTTTGTTTGGGAGTAGGGGTGTAACGGTACACAAATATGACGGTTCGGTACGTAGCTCGGTTTTAACGTCACGGTTCGGTATGATTTCGGTACAGCGGGGTACGGTTTTAATTTTCCTTTAAATAAACAGTGGTTTACTGAACAAGTTGCTCTTTAAATACATTCAGTTATAGTTTGCATTTTCTTAGTGATAAACTACCTCAGGGTTCTAGGCTATTTGTTAAAAAATATTCAATTACACACTGACCGTCATAATGTTTCATAACAGATTCATTTAAACATACAATAAAGTTTTAAGACTAACAGGTTTAGTAAAATATAAGGAGTAGCCTAGATGGTGTAATATTTTGCGAAATGCTGCTCATTTCTCTAGTGAACTAACGAGCTGTGGACACTGATGACTTGCTGAAATAAATGCTACATGACATTTTATTTCCATGCTGTTTTGTTGATGTCTTTCCGCAGTCGAAACACTGATTGTGGTGTAATATTTTGCGAAATGCTGCTCATTTCTCTAGTGAACTAACGAGCTGTGGACACTGATGACTTGCTGAAATAAATGCTACATGACATTTTATTTCCATGCTGTTTTGTTGATGTCTTTCCGCAGTCGAAACACTGATTGAGCAATTACATGAGGCATGAGATGTTCAGTCATGTTTATTCGTGGTAAAACTAGTAGTACAGAGGAAGGATTGATCACGTTCCCTCGGTCGCCGCGCTGCCATTTACACTGCACAAGTCTGTGGCACGTTACAGCTCGACACGGAACCAGAGCTGATCACGGCCGCTCTAGTCAATGCCTGTGTTGGGTTTATGCCAGCACGTTCTGAATCGTCCCAGAAGCAGTTCTCCAAGGCATTTATACAGCGATCTGTGATGCCACAAAGACTGTCAAAACACCATTTATTATTTGAATTTCCTGGAAGAAAAAAAACAACCTGTATTCGTTCGGTACACAGAACCGAAAGCCCCGTACCGAAACGATTCGGTACGAATGTGTACCGTTACAGCCCTAGCTGAGAGGAAAGTGTTGCTTTGCTCATGTTAGGCTTGACAGACTTCGATTCGACCAGAGGACAGTGTGGCTACAGCTGGAATAAAGTCAGCATTGGGACAAATCAATAGTATCAATCAGACAAAAACCTAAATGCACAGCAGACATGCCGAGTGTTAACTCAAACATACAGTCACAAGTGGTAAATAAACAAGCAGTTATCAATGCAGCCATTAATGAACCATCTCTGAAACTCTTTAGTGTGCACATTGTCAGATGGATCTAAATTTCTGTCAGTAAGTTTGGGGCACCCCATCTATCTGATATCTGAGCTTAGGTAAAATCTATTGGAGAACTCTTACCTTGCCAGGTGTTGGTAAGAGCTCGTTTGGCACGGTCAGATGTTGTTAATACCAGACTTAAGGAACTGTTGACCGTTTGAGATTTCCTGCATATGATGTTATAGCATAACTTGCATAAAAACCATTTACTCTCATCAATTCCAGTTTGTACAGTTCACCACAACATTGAGAATGTTGAATATCAAGGGTTTAACAAATTAAAAAAAATAACGATTTACTCAGATTAATCACATGCACAGCAATGCTTTGCAAGCACTGCATTTGGTTAGCATCCACAATTTAAACCATTAATGTTTCAACACTGCTCAGAAGCAAATAAATCTATACAAGCTTTATGTGGGTGAATTTCTGGATGTTACGCACCCATTTCCAACAATGACGACACATTTGAAATTGCAATTAGCAATTAATCCTCAAGCGCACAGATCGTTTGTGAACAAAAATAATCAAGTTCCTTCAGAATGTGCTAACTGAAACTCCTAACTAAAATTGATTTAAAAAAAAACAATAGTGAAACTGAAACAGTTATGGAAATATGCATTCACAATACATGCTGAATACGCTCCTCTGAGGTGGTTTCTCTTGATGCAGCTCTTAACATCTATGTCACATACTCAAACTGCACATGCAGACAAAAACTCAGCTGCTTGTAGCTTTCTAGAAACCCTTAGACCTTGATTAGCTGGTTCAGGTGTGTTTGATCAGGGTTGGAGCTAAACTCTGCAGCGCATTGGCCCTCCAGGGTAAGATTTGAGGAACCCTGCCTTAGACCTTGATTAGCTGGTTCAGGTGTGTTTGATTAGAGTTGGAGCTGAACTCCGCAGGACTGAACCACCCCATGTGTTAGATGTTTTAGTACCATTAAAATCATAATTATATAAGCACGGTAGTTATGTTACATATGACACTGAAGCTTCAAAGCGTGTATCGAGTACGCAGCTCAGTTTCTCACGAAGCTCTGTGCGGGAGCGCGTGTTGTTTTCAGAGAATCACATGATCAACGAAAAATGAAACCTCACTTTCTTTCCAATCATGTCGGAATGTTCCCCCCAGATCTTACTTTACATAAGTTTTCATTAAGACTTATTCAATTAAATACCCAGTTATACAAGTAATATGAAGAATAAAAATTATTTCAGAAAAAACTAAATATTTGCCATATGCAGTGCATATATTTGTGCATTATTCTTCTATTACATCATATTGATTTTATTACTGGCATTAAATGCCACTGTTTAATGGGTAAATAATTTTATCAGAGAGAGAAATTCAACAAACAAACAAACACAAACACACTGTTAGGCTTATATTTGTGCACGTAACATGAGTTGATGGAATTTGTGGTTGCTGCTTAGTCTGACGGAGCGTCTTTCACAGGCTTTTGGCTTCTATATTTCTTATTAACCACCAGATGGCCCTGTTTTTGACACTCTCAAAGCTTTGAATATTTTTCTGAAACAGTCAGAGGAAAGCCTAAGTGCTTCATGAGGCTTCACTTGCCCATCACTAAAGCAAGGTAAATAATTAAAAAATAAAGTACAATAAAAAACAACATTAACCAGATATTCTCACTCACAATGATATCAATATCCAACAGGTTATTTACTTTCAAACCTGCATCTTACACTGACAATCCTGTGAAACTTCAGCTTGTGAGCATTTATACTCATGGGCACAACCATTGATGGGGAAGCAAGCGACCAGAAATTATATTCATCAAATAACTTTTTGTACATGCATTAATCCACAAATTATTATTTAACAGACATTTATGCATAGTTACAGTAATTAAATTTTGAAACAACAAAAACCCATTTTATCCTCTAGTTTGGTTTCTCCCACATCCCGTAATGCACCACAGCACAGATATAAAAGTTAATTTCAGGAGATGATCTGGTTTTTCGCCTTAGACCTTGATTAGCTGGTTCAGGTGTGTTTGATCAGGGTTGGAGCTAAACTCTGCAGCGCATTGGCCCTCCAGGGTAAGATTTGAGGAACCCTGCCTTAGACCTTGATTAGCTGGTTCAGGTGTGTTTGATTAGAGTTGGAGCTGAACTCCGCAGGACTGAACCACCCCATGTGTTAGATGTTTTAGTACCATTAAAATCATAATTATATAAGCACGGTAGTTATGTTACATATGACACTGAAGCTTCAAAGCGTGTATCGAGTACGCAGCTCAGTTTCTCACGAAGCTCTGTGCGGGAGCGCGTATTGTTTTCAAAGAATCACATGATCAACGAAAAATGAAACCCCACTTTCTTTCCAATCATGTCGGAATGTTCCCCCCAGATCTTACTTTACATAAGTTTTCATTAAGACTTATTCAATTAAATACCCAGTTATACAAGTAATATGAAGAATAAAAATTATTTCAGAAAAAACGAAATATTTGCCATATGCATTGCATATATTTGTGCATTATTCTTCTATTACATCATATTGATTTTATTACTGGCATTAAATGCCACAGTTTAATGGGTAAATTATTTTATCAGAGAGAGAAATTCAACAAACAAACAAACACAAACACACTGTTAGGCTTTTATTTGTGCACGTAACATGAGTTGATGGAATTTGTGGTTGCTGCTTAGTCTGACGGAGCGTCTTTCACAGGCTTTTGGCTTCTATATTTCTTATTAACCACCAGATGGCCCTGTTTTTGACACTCTCAAAGCTTTGAATATTTTTCTGAAACAGTCAGAGGAAAGCCTAAGTGCTTCATGAGGCTTCACTTGCCCATCACTAAAGCAAGATAAATAATAAAAAAATAAAGTACAATAAAAAAACAACATTAACAAGATATTCTCACTCACAATGATATCAATCTCCAACAGGTTATTTACTTTCAAACCTGCATCTTACACTGACAATCCTGTGAAACTTCAGCTTGTGAGCATGGGCACAACCATTGATGGGGAAGCAAGCGACCAGAAATTATATTCATCAAATAACTTTTTGTACATGCATTAATCCACAAATTATTATTTAACAGACATTTATGCATAGTTACAGTAATTAAATTTTGAAACAACAAAAACCCATTTTATCCTCTAGTTTGGTTTCTCCCACATCCCATAATGCACCACAGCACAGATATAAAAATTAATTTCAGGAGATGATCTGGTTTTTCGGATTGACGAGCACTGGGACTCGGGCTCGGGCAGCGAGCTGATGGTAGTTTCTGGGTGGTTTGGCAACAGCTGATCTGTGACTGGAGAGTGCATGGTAGGAAGTGGCGTAGATTCTGGAAGGTTCATTACTCAAAGCTTTTCAAAACGGTGCACACTAACGACATCTTGTGGTCAAAAGGTGGAAAAAGCTACCTTTGCGTCCCAGACAACCCAGCCATTTTTGGACTGTTTCAGATAATAAATTAGGTTGTGCTATGAAAATCTGAAAAAGGCAAAGAAAATATGAAGTCTATATAAATAAGTCCATGTCAGTCATTGTATTACACAATATGAATAAATGAGTCTGTGAATTTTTTTTTGGAAAAAATAGGCAAGGCTGTAGGCATATACTGTATAGGTTATGATCAAAATAACCGAATATTATCATAGAATGGTCAGTTAAAGTGTCTGTGAACCAGGAATAAATACAAAATGAACATGCACAACACTACACATGCATGTATGCAAATATTTATTCGTATTATTATTGATTCTTTTCAAAGACGTGTGACACTTGAAACTGCGCAAGTGGTTTGCGTTATTTGAATCAGAATACGAAGCAGTCACGTGGTTGTGTGCGAAAACCAAGGTTCGGGACGTCACAGATCACATGGTTTTGGCAAAACGAATCAAGCTCCGGTACAGTGCTTCACTGTGAGAGGTTTAGTTTTTTTGATACAAGCGGTCTTTAGAAAAGTTTACACGGTATTTTTTCTTTTCCTCTTGCCTCTGTATGATAATGATAATGCACATTAAAGTTCATAAGCGCAGCGCTGCTTTGTTTACAGCGGTAACCAAGGAAAGGCTTTAAGCGCCACCTGCTGGCAGAGAGTGCATCTGCGTCTCGTTCAGCTCGTCTGCTGTTTCGGTTTCATGCAGATATTTTAATGTAGTATAGTTTCACAAAACTGAAGTCAAACCATTCTGTTTTTGCTTCAAATTTCGAAATTATACAATCTAATTTAGATTAAAAACTGCTTGTGTTGCTTGTATGCAGCATCTTTGTTTGGATCATGATTAAAATGCATTGGTTGCCTCTAATTTTAAATGTTAAGAGCACAGACAAAACCTTAGTTTGTTTATATGAAGAGATTTATTTTATTTGTGTTACTTATTTGATTTGGGGCTTGTTTTAAAATGTCAATGTAGTTTTGTTATTTACATTTACATTATATTTACATTTTGTAATTTCCTGGACAACACACGTATGTCTGGCAGATGTCTAAAACATCTAATAAGCGTCGGCCAGGCATAGGTCGATATAATTCGGTCAGTGCTGTTTCTCAGCTCATCAAGCGTCGGCTCCGAGTCGGCTCACGACCGGAGGCCGATGCCGCGCTTTTCTGTTTGCGCGAGTCCAGTTATTCGTCTCTTAGCAACCTACTGAGAGAAGAGACTCATCCCGCGACATCTGGGGCTTTCAGGGAAGATTTCACGCTAAATTAGAAAAAAATACCATTTTGTTAATCCTGTGACACTTCAAAGGTAACGTTACTATAGGCACTCGGTGTGCTACAGCAGGTGAAGAGACTGGGGCTCATTTCCAGCTAACCTTAACTTGTTTAGCTAACGTCACGATAACTTAGCAATTTTTAACCATATCAACCTGGGATTATCAGAGATGTATTTATTAATATTTTGAATTAAGAAATTTTAAATTAAAAAAATTATTACATTATTAAATTAACACTAGAACTGCCTCGAGGTAATTTTACCCATGGGTGTTTTTCAAATGTTGGATACATAATATATTTTCAATAAAAAATATCCAAGTCTCACAGTCATTGACTTTTACTAAAATTGTGCTATTTACAATCCCCTGTTGTTAAAAAAATTGTTTAGATAAAACCAGAATAAAAGCTGGGCATTTATACCTATAAGCTCCATCGGGTCAAATGTACGCATATAATTCCTTTATTGTCGCGCTGTCATTGAGCAACGTGTTAGCTTACAGCAAACAGCCACACAACGCACCTTCAGATTAAGATGCTTTAGCCTACTCATAAATGTTCACTAATTATAATTATTCATTTTTGTTTTGAGATTTTTTTTGTCGTTTATTGTTCGCTACTGTGTTGCTTATCTATTCCTGAAAAAAAAAATCTGAATTATGATGTAATGAATAAAACAATTTTTGTGATTACCCCAAGTTTAATGGTGTTGTTCTCTTATTCAAATGATAAATTATATAACTAAATAAATTAAGAATTAATTAGGTGAATCTGTGTGCTTGAATTGTCGTTGTATCATACATCCTATGCAGTGTGGTGAATTATTATGGCTTATTATAGTCTATTTAGGGTATTTTAGTAATTTAAATAACATGGGTTTTCTTTTTATTGTTATTATTGGTAATATTTTTATATTCGTTATGTATTTGATTTATTTTCCCTTCATTTCAATCTCTTTACTTAAGGTTCAGGGCTGGTTTTCCCAAAAGCATCTTAAGCCTAAATTGATTGCAGAACCACTGTCTTCATCTGGCTTAAGATGCTTTTGGGAACAGCCCTGAAGAGTTTTGTAAATACTGTAAATGCTAATAAAGCCAATAAAGCTTTGATTATGCTATATGACAGGAATTTTTACAGGAAGTGCAGTTTAGAGGATGAATTTAACAATAACCCTATAATTATAAATACTAGTATTATAAATGAATAATTCACGTAGTCTCATTTGTAAATGAAAACACCACTCATTTATCTTCACATACGGGCATAAATGCAATCATAAAGTCAAAACTTAATAATAATTGTCAGGTGTTTACAGTATTTGCAAAATATATGGTAGCATATAATAGCATTACACAGAACGTTAATTAGGTAAAGCGATACACGAACTCAAAGGGGAAATAAGCATAACAATAAATATTAAAATAAAGCCATAATTAATATATTATATACAGTTAGCCTATATAATAATAATAGCTTAATATACACATATATTAAATAAAAAGACACGATCAACGGACTGTGGGAAGGATACAAATATTTGATCATCTCTGATAACCTCAGGTTGCTATGGTCACGCGGGTTTGTTCAGCATTAAACTCGTGGCCACGAGACATTGATGTAGTTCCCTCAATACGATCTCGTGGCCACGACAAAACTAAACCAAAAAGACTCCAGCTTAATTGGGAATCTTACAGTGACCGTCATTTCTTAATTTATGCCAGGAGTTATGCAAATGAAAAACGTCGAGATCGATATGAAGCTTGAGTCGTAGACCTTTTTAATGATGTAAGTTATAGTTTATGACGTTAATTGCATTATTTTAGATTAAAACTAGCAGTAACTCTGAACTCATGTAGACAGAGCGCTTCTGTGCGCTGGCGTCCTCCCACAGGTTCAGAGATTTTAAACTAACACTGTTAATACACATTTAGTTAACCAAATGAAACAATACACATTTTAATGCTATAAAAGTGTGCACACTGAGAGAAGTAAAAAGCAGATGTTCATGTTAACAGCAAATGTAGATTTCTGGGTGAAGATCCCTTTAATTGCCCTGTCTACACTGTAAAATCCAATAGTTTACCTTACTTAGATTTAATTAGTTATCTTTACTTAGTTGTTATACTTACTAGGTTTTATTAAGTTCCAGCAACTTTCAAGGCAAATAAAACAATGTACTTACTGTTTTGAGTGACACTTACTTAAAATATTCAAGTAGCCACAAAGGAACCAATGAGAGGCAGCAGTGCACTAATATGCTGCTAATGTGCAGCATAATAACAGCAGAAGAAGAAAAGAAAACGAGTCTTAATAGACTTTATTCATTTCCTCCATGTCTGCAGTTATCTTTCACTAGTTGCATTCATTCGTTTCCCAAAGCCATCATGAATGTTGAATTCTCAATACAGCTGAAATATTTGACAGAAAATCACATAAGCTGACTTCATATTCAATTGATTTTCCTAAAATGTGTTTTTTTTACCATTATAGTCTGAAGTCACACACAGACTTAAACATTCAGCACGTGAATCACAACAATGGTAACAATTACATTTCATTTATTTTAATTGTAACAATAACCATTTTATTTGCTCTTTTTGTTGAGCTACTACTGACACAAGACAGCAAATAAAATCAACAACTGTAAAACAAAGCAACTACATAATTTATTCATGCCGCAATGCACTCTGGGAGTCAGTGAGTAGCTATACTAAGTCATGAGTAAACCTAAATGAAAGGATCAAGTACCCCCTACAGTTCTTCTTTAGTTACTAGAACTCTCGTGTAAGTAAGCTATACTAACTAAGCATCTGTCAGTACAACATACTATTCCTATTTCACTTTACTTCGTTTTTTCAAGGCAATCGGTTTGCATGCTTTTTTTAAGTAAGCCCAACTAATTAGATTTTACAGTGCAACATCACTAGAGGAGTGTCTCCAGGAATCTCTGCTTGGGCCGCTTCCTTTGATACAGTTTGACTCATATTAACTCGAATGGGTACTTTTTGGATAATTTAGTTTGGTAATGTATCATCATCTGCTTTGGAAACAAATAAATTACTTTTTTTTTTAATGTGTAAAAGTATGTTTGACACTGAAATGCTTTCATATTAGTATAAACTAGAACACACTTCAAGTACTTGTATATTTCTATTTTCTTATATTACTGGAACAGGATCTAAAATAATGACCAGTCTTTTTGTATAACATGTCTAGAGGAAACTTTCCAGCTACATAAACATTTCCACATTACTGGAAAAAAGTAATAGTTTTTATTTGTAAAGCAGGTATGCATCTACATCCACTTGTTTATAATCACAAAACATCTGTACTGAAATACTGTAATAATATTCAATGTAAAATGTGCAAGCAGATACTATTTTACTAGTGCAATCCTGTACTGAGTGAAAATACTATAATGTTACCCACAGACAACAAATATTTATGCTGATGTTTGTGTAACTCTGGGTTCCAGGGCCTTTTCCAAAAACTCCTGAAGGACAAAAAGAGAGAGAGAACTTAAAGTATATCTACAAGTCTTAAGTATTATCTACAACCACAATAAACATTAATTACAAACAATGAGCAAAAAAAAAGAAAAAAAAGAAGGGATGCACCGATTATCTGCACTATCGGCCGACTGTTTAAAACCTGACGATCGGGCCGATTATATCCAGTCATCAAAAGGGCCAGAAAAATGCCAGACTGCAACTCGTGTGTGAAGAAATGTTTTCTGTAGGATTTAGGGCTGTCTAATTATCGCTATAATAACGCATTAATATAATCTGATTTAAAAATATAGCTGTCCACAGGTTCTGTTTAACTCTATTTACTCTGTTAGCGCACACTGCTAGTCTTGTGCTGAAAAATTAATTGTTTGTCTTGTAATCTTCTACAAAGACAAGTTATGAAAACGATTGAGTTATATACAAACATTTCAGTTTTTATTTTCGGGTTTGATTATTATATTGGAAAATAAACAGCAGTTGAATATATTTTGGCCTTTGTTGATAATTTTAACCTCTGATATTCCAGTAATGTACCCAATGAGAGAGTTTCTTGTATAGTTTACAGCATTAGCTGGGAGAGATTGTGTTCCTAAACTCCGATCGGGAGATTTCATTCGGAGTAATCGGCAGAGAAATCTGCTATTGGTGCATCCCTAAAAATGAAAGTAATTGTAATATTTAAGATGGATTACCCTGACAGGATCAGAGACGGTGTTGCTCAGCGGAGCCGTTTGCCCTCCTTTCAGCTCTCTGTATTTCAGATATTCATGGGCAAAAGAAATGGCCTCCTCTTCACTGTTCAGAGAAAAAAGCACATTGAAAGACACTTTGTTAGAAATACAAATTTACTTAACCCTCGAAAGTGAAAATTGTAATTGAAAAAATTTAGATGAAACTACAGGTGCGATATGTATTATCTATCACGGTTTCCTAACGGTTTTAACAGCGTGTGAGCTGACCTTCAGTGTCACAAACCAATCAAACCTCTTCAGAGAGCAGGGTTTCACTCGTGATGCTACACCTCTGACACTCACATATGGGGCAGAAAACGCACCTGATTTTGTCTTTATTTGTATTAGATTATATAGTTAAACAATATCACACGATACTGAATTAAAATTCTCTGTTGAAACAACTGACCTTAGAGAACTTAAAGTACCCCTATTATGCTTTTATGAATATTACTTTTCATGTAGCGTGTAATATGGCTGTTTCTGAAGGAGCAGAGTTTTAAAGATCAAAGTGCACGACAAAAAGGGGTTATAATCTCCCAAAATAAAGAACTGAATCTGAACGGGCTGCAGAGTTTTGTGCTGTTGTGATGTCTAGAAAAGCTAAACTAGTTTACATGAGCTCCCAAAGGCTGAGGATGTGAAGAGTTCACTTTTACAGTGACAGCAGTATAATGCCAGCCTTTCATTGTGTTCCCATCATTGTACTGACGACTGCCTCGAAAATCTTGTATGTATGAATATATATATATATATATATATACACACACACACCTGAGTGTTTAAAATGCGTGGTAGCAAAGCTATAGCCCGCTGCTAACCGGTGAGCTCACGCTATTGTCTTGAAATCAGCAGTCTGACTGATTGTCTGCGGTCTGAATCAGATTCTGTCATTCTTACTACGAGCGTGGAGCAGGATTTTGTGCATACTGTGCTGAGGAAGTCTCCGGAGCTTAAACTCATGTATGGTCTTGGGCGATTCATTTCTGACACACGCTGTAAGTGGTGGACCAATCACAACAGACTGGGCCATCTGACCAATCAGAGCAGAGTAGGTGCAAAAATGAGGGATTTAGAGTTTGATGTGCATTTCTATAATGAGGCCGATATATAACAGATACATATGAAGCAGCGATGCGATACGATGCACAACCCGTTACGATGCAGAGCAATACGATTTCATTCAACGATGCAATGGAAAAAATATGATCACTTTTAATGCCTCGAAGCCTGTTTCATAAAACAAGTTTACCAGATAAACCAGGCTTATTTCAGTTAGTCTGACTCACTGTCAAATGATTTGGTTCCATAAAGCAAATTTAACACAGGCCTAGATCAAGCTCTGACTCTCTCACATACTATTATTATTATTTTATTTTAAATAGCGTTGAAACGGGAAGTGATATAATTAATATGTTTACATGACTTTCTGACATTTACAGATGAAGAATATAACGGTGACATGTCAGTTATGCACTGAGGAAAACACAACGTCTCAAATGCATTAAACAGCACAGATATATTCGCTGTTTGCGATGGTGGATTGATTTGATCCATGATCGACATTAATTTGTGCACGCTTATTCTTAAGCAGACCTTAGTGAGATTGTGTGAACTTAATTAGTTGTTTATGGAACCGCTTCAGCCCCGATTGATTTGTTAGGTTATTTCAGGTCAGGTTTTGGAGTTTATCACAACACTTCGGAGACCCGAGGAAAAGCGGGGATTAGTGACGTCATGTTCACGCAGCAGCAGCGGTGATGAGAACGCGCTTGAGAAACAGTTTAGAGAGGAGAAGTCAATCTACATATTAAATATTGGTCACAGATTATTGGTCACTTTCTAAACAATAAAATTATAGCACATCCACTAGTAATTATATATAAATTAATTGTTTTTTTTACAGATGCAAATATGTTAGAAACGATGCATTGCGATACAAATGCCAACTTTAAAATAGCATAATAGGGGCATTTTAATATTACTGTAACATTGCAGTGTTCATCGTGATACTTCCCAATCTCTCTTTCGAGGTTTATTATATTCCTACTGTACATGATCCCTTACACAACTGTTACATCTAAATAAATAAAATAACATAAAACTGATGAACTTTGAATTTCCTTCACATCTTATAAATAATAATAATTTATTCATCAAGGATCAACGAACCCATTTTGCCCCACAAGGCAGTTCAGCAGCTCCTGCACTATTTCAGAATGAGCCTTTGAGATCAAGTGCTTCTTCAGATAAGTGAAGTGTTTGGTCTTCATCAACATCTGCGACTTGCCATTTCCACAAAGGAAGGTGAACACAGTGTCCCTAATCTACAGTAAATAACAAGGCAAGGCATTTTAAATGAATCAAAGGTAAACAAGCACTGAGAACAGATTTGTTTGAACAAAGCAAGACCTGTGAAGGAATGCCGGCTAACTCTCCGGTGCTCATGCGTTCCTCCACCTGATCCAGAATGAGGGTAGGGTTGCAGGATAACAGGAAGCTCTAATGTATAAGACACACAAACTCTTGTTTATGTACAAACTGAAAATCAAACTCAAAATATGCAGATCACAAATCAGTAAATAGGAGAACCTGCATACATTCAAGATAAAAACCACTAATAACTGAATAATGACAGACAAATCAAACCCCACTCAAAGAGATTCATCACTACACTAAAATAATTCAGTGAAATACGTATTTGGGGAATTGTCAAAATAGCAATAATAGAATTGAATGATATCACTCAGTTAGCTTGCAGGTTATGAGGCCCTTTCGCACCGCTTTAGTTCCAGAACTAAACGTACGGTACTAAAGTACTGGGATGATTTTGCGGGAACTATTTCCCAGTACTATTTAAAGGGTTGCATTCGCACCGAGAGTGTGTACTAAGAAGTGACGTAAGCCGGTCGACAGCGACGTCATTTGTGCGCGGCGTTCAACAACAGAAACAAAGAACTACATTAACAACAGGAGGATGGAGGACGCTGTGATCGGAGCTGTGTGTTTGTCTCGCGGGTTTCACAATAATGGACATGGAAAGTCGACGTATACGTAAAGCGACTGAAAGAACGGAAAGGAGGACTAAGAATCTCCAACGACAACTGGCCGTGCTACATTTGCTACGAGAGCCTGCACTTCAGCGTCCGTCCATCTATCGCTGTTCTCCATACTTGCGAAATAAATTGACACAATGTTTACAGTATGTTTACACGGAGTTTTAAATCATGGCGGGCGAGGGGGTTTTCATACACGTTTGGCCAATCAATGTCTACTTGCGTCACGATTAGTACCAGTTGTGCTGGTTAGACCCTGCTCCGGAGTAGGAGCTAATTTGGTTCTCGAAGAAGGCAGTCCGGTACTAAAATTGCTCCCAGTTCCGGCGGTGCGAAAGGCCCTATAAATACTGACTTCAGAAATGTACAAAATTAGAATCACAGATCACTATTAATAAACACTAATAACTGGATTATATTTAATCTTTAAATGTTAAGAGCATCGGCAGTGAATAAATGTGTTTAGATCTTCCCCGTCTACAGTGAATGAGAACCTACTTGAATCTGTGGGTCCTTCTTTCTGGCACAAGGTATGAGCAAGAGTGTGCCCAGAGAGAAGGCCTGCAGGCTGAACTGAGCAAACCGCCTGGCGATGCCAACCAGATCCAACGTCAATACAAATGGACATCTACAATAAATAAATGAATCAAAAATAAATTATATATATATATATATATATATATATATAGTAAACAGACATGGACATCTCTGAGTATATATTCAAAATTCAAGCACATTCAAACCTTATAAAAATAAGATTTTACAAACTTTACATTAACATAAGACCCAGAATTAACCTGGGTGTTCCCTACTGTTGCATTCAAACTAAAATCATAGAAACATAAAACTATAATTTTTTGCTTAATTATTGTGCTGACACAAGTCTAAATTGTTAGTTATTTATCCCAGTTTTGAACGTAATTCCTCTAAACGCTCAGGTGTGCCATAAGCTGAAGGAGTTTACAGAGTTTATGATTAAATGATTCTCATTACAGACATGCATGGCACTCCCTCAATATCAAAAACTCATCACATCAACATGAACTACACAAATCAAATAACTGGCATTTATTTTTTTCCAAGTTTTCATGGATTCATGGAGCTCTTTGCTCAAGAGGTGATGACAGTGATTTGAATTGTGTATTATGGGAGAGTACAGTGGTGTAGCATTAAAATGTAGCATTATTAGGACTTCACAATTACATACAAATCATAACTAATAAATATTTTGCTTGGTATTGTATAGATGATAAATATTAATTGTAAAACGAGCCCTGCCCTCTTCCCATGCTTTCCCTTGGACTGGAGACTTACTTTAGAAGCAGGACAAATGTGTTGTACATCACATCATGCTGTCGAGGGCTGAGAGGCAGAGAGGCTGTGAAATGATCAAACAGACTAACAGTTAGAAGCATTTAATACAAATTTATATGCAACTTCACAGAAAAACATGTCTAAGTATGTTTCTTTTTACCTGTCAAGAAAGGGGCTTGAATCACACTCCGCCATATCCGGGAAAGACTTTGCCCCTGCAGGGAGGGATAAATAAATACATACATATTAAATAAAATAATCTTGTCAGATGTGTTAAATTGATCTAAGGGTCACACACTACACGTGGAGGAGCACAATCCAGTGATAGGCCATCAGCTGCATGTTTCCCGAGGTGCACTTATAATGTTAGTAGATTTAGAAATAAAAGACCATTTTTGACCATAATTTTAGCCCTCTGAGTTAAATACTTTGTTTAAAAGGACTTCAATGCAAATGCCCACTGCTATGACTGGGAAACATAATTATAATTAATAATAATAATTTATGCATTTAGCAGACACTTTTATCCAAAGCGACTTACAGTGCATTCAGGCTATACATTACCAGTATGTGTGTTCCACTAAGTGTCCTGTGTTGCAAACATCTTTGCATATGAAACAAGAATTACATCTAGAACTCCAACTTTTAACTCTCAACTAGAAACATTTTCGGACTAACAAGGAAGTTTTGAGCTGTGGAGTTTTTATAGTACAGTGACCTCTTACACTGATCAGCCACGGCATGAAAACCACTGACAGGTCCAGTAGATCACATCGATTGAGGGCTGGGATAGATTTGGAGCAAGTGAACAGTCTTGAGTTTGAGTTTCTTGTGTTGGAAGCAGGAAACAGGGGCAAGAGAAAAGCTCTGAGTGACCTTGACGAGGACCAAACAGTGAAGGCTAGACGACTGGGTCAGAGCATGTGGGGTGTTCCCGGTCTGCAGCGCTTAGTGCCGGCCAAGAGTGCTGTGAGGAAGCGCGAAGGCTAGTCTGACTGGTCCAAACACACAGATGAACTACTGTAGAGATCACATATCTGAAAAACCTAATGCTGAACATGATAGACATGCAGTGCTTCACAGTTTGCCGAGTATAGGGCTGCAGTCGCAGAGCGGTCAGAGAGCCCATGATGACCAGGCTGCCTGCTCTGATCAGTTTCTTTCAGATCAGGTGTATGGCCAGACGTATGTGTGTCGTTTACCTGGGGAAGAGATAGCAGCTAATGTCTTTGTGTCAGACACACGGGACACGTTCAGAGGTCTGACGCATCAGAGCTGTTTTAGCAGCACAAGGGAACATGATATTAGTCAGGTGGTTTTAATGTTGTGGCTGACCAGTGTATGTGTCAAAAGATGTGGAAAAGTTCATAAATCTTTACACACTAAAAATATGCTAAAGACAATCAACATTCATTGCATGGGGTTCGTGTCACCGTGTCAAGTCTGACTAGTTTTAAGCATGTAGTTGTCCAGCCCCTTATAAAAAAACACTTACTTAAACCCTCTGGACCTGATCAATTTTCAGCCCATCTTTGACGGTTTTCAATCGGGTTTGAGAGCTGTACTGTACACTTGTACTGAGACAGTTCTTAAGGTTGCAAATGATCTCTTGGGGCTGATTTTGGAAATTGTGTTGCTTTGATTATTATTAGATCTCAGTGCAGCTTTCGATACTCCTGGTATTCATTTATTACAATCTCGATGGCTGTGAGAGCTTTTTAAGAATGTCAACATTTGGGCAGTGATTCATTATATATATATTTATATACATACACTAGTAGACTATGTTAGCCTAGCTCTGATTAGTGATAATGAGCTATATAAACAAAATTCACAGCAATGTTACGCAGTAAATGTTACGTTCCTGCAGTGTGCCATGTTGGGCAAATCAAGAAAATGTTTGTCTGATGCCTGTTTAAGTGATGAACTGCACTACTTGTGGTTGCTTTCGGAGATGTTACATATGCTTCATACTTGTGCTACATTTGTGTGATCTGTGCTGCAAAACCTACAACCTCTTTAGCACCAGTGGTGTGGGCAAAACCTACAGCCCTGCTCTGTATTTAAACTTCTATATCGTCATTGTGCCAAGCACGATGTGGCCCACATGCAGGAATATTTTAGTTCGGTTTTTCCCAAAAATGAGTCTGACACCCGATCTAAATAAAAACATGAAAAATGATCACCTCTAAAAGACTGGGCACTGCTATGAGGGCTTCAAGAACCTTCTGCAAGTAGCTTGTCTACAGAAGAAAAAGCAGAAAGATTTGATGACATAAAACAGCAATGAACACAAGGCTAACAAACATGACAGCTTCAAGTATACTTGTTCAAATGCTATAATAATCTATATAAATACATAACTCATAGATCATGTTTCCAGATTTTCTCAGCATCAAAAAGTTATAGTTTTCTATTATTCACGTTTCACTATGCAGTGTTTGTGCAGAAGTACACTAAAAGCCTCAAACTAATGACTACACCATCTTTATATGGACAGTAACGTAGAGGTGACTCACCATATTAAACGACATTTCAAATGCTATAATAATCTATATAAATACATAACTCATAGATCATGTTTCCAGATTTTCTCAGCATCAAAAAGTTATAGTTTTCCATTATTCATGTTTCACTATGCAGTGTTTGTGCAGAAGTACACTAAAAGCCTCAAACTAATGACTACACCATCTTTATATGGACAGTAACGTAGAGGTGACTCACCATATTAAACGACATAAGCTTTTGCAAGACACTGTTCCACAGCTGCAAGTCATAAACCTCATACTCCAGACAAAGCTCGGCCACAAGCCGGACAGCCTGCAAAGAAACAGCACTATGATACATGCCTTACTGAAAAATATGTGCAGATTATGATTTAGCATTGTATGACAGTGTGCATGAAAAAACATAAATAAATAAATAAAACATTTATAAACATTTAATAATTATAAATAATTTCAACTTTAGATTTGGTACTGCAAAAACATAATAAATTATTTGCAGTAGAAGTATGCATTCACGGCACTAAAATGCAGACGTGTCCTTTACAGACTGCGGTTATGAGGTAATAAATCATATGTCAACATGAATAATGTGCGAAGTGCTTAAGTAACAACAACAACAGAAACATTTTATAACTATTGCAAATTTTAAAAAATGTTTATCAGATGACACATAGATCCATTACAGATTTTCTCGGCCGCTTTGGTACATTTTTCAGAGCAGAATTGAAATTCTCAAATAATTGTTCAACCTCCACATCATCTAGTCACTTGTGCACATCATAAAAGCAATTTCTCATTATTAATATAATTTCATCATTATTATTAATATCAATGATATTACGCAGCACCTGAAAATAGTTGCTGGGGATATTACGCAGCGCATAGCTGGGAGTATTTTCAGGCTCTGTGTAATATCCTTGCTGCACCCATGATACAGCAGCAAAGGTCCTTGATTATTAGTATATTATATATATATATATATGAACTAACGAAGCATTATGTAGGGTACAGTTTGTGCTATCTATGGTCAAGAGATAAAATTAAGGTGGGTGGGTCATTAAAGTTTTTTGTCTATTTGTTAACAAAGGATCTGTGGACACATCAATGTTTTTGGATTTGTGGAGTGAAATTTCTCATTTTTATTTTGAAGCAAGACGATAAAATTAGACCCTTGTGGTAAGATCACTGAACAGTGAGAGATTTTCTCTTTTCTAGTTTGATTAACATTGATGACACTGACAGGAGCCAGTACAGTATGGACTGCTGTCACTTTAAGACCTAATGCAGAGATCCAGTGTGCTGATACTCTTCTGATTTCTTTCTCAACTGTTTACAATCACTTAAGGCATAACTGATGTGATGTGATACTAGCCACGATTTGTGTGCTGTCAGAGACTCTGTGTTTTAAATGTGCGGGCACAGAAAACAGCACGCAAACACCAAATAAAGTTATTTCACTTGAATGGTTTAAAATCACTGGAATGTTTAAAATGACAAGACACATGCAACTGCAAAGCTTTCGTGACGCTGCAGCACTGTCCTGAGCGTCAGAGGCCAGTCCTGCAGTGATCCCAGAAGAGCTCGAGTCACAGTAAATGAACCAAGTGTTCTCAGATGCTGATGAATCATTCATGATCTACACGCATGTAAATGTCACGCTTCACTCCGAAACGTCACAGCCTCCGCAAATTTACAATTGCACTTAGCCATTTCGCAATATCGATTTTATTTCGATATACTGTGCAGCCCTAGTTTCAATATTAGTTGCAATATCTACCTGAGGTTCATTGTTGTGGTTCTTCCATAAACCCTTGATCATGCCTTCCTTGGGGCTGCTGATGAACATTTCCAAGGTATAGGGAATGTTCAGGGCCTCCATCTGGGCAAGGTACATGTAGCACTTCAAATAATACCTGTGAAAACATTAGTACATGGTCATTAATGCTGCAGATTCATTCATGATTAAAACAAATGCCAAAAATGTGTTTGCGTTAACACTGGACAGTTCTATTCTGAACACAAATAAGAGTTGAAACTAATAGAATATTGTTGATGCAGCTCACTTGATTTTGCTGCTAGGCTGGTTGGAAAGTGTCTCCAAGGTGGCAGCATCTGCTAAGTGAGTGAGACAGAGCAGAGCTCGACTGCGGTGTTCGAAGGTCAAACGAAGGCCTGATCCTCCCAGGGGCTGCACAGATCAACAGATGTTAATTGCTGGGCTCAGTAGTTTGTTTTTTGTGTTTCAGTTTAGTTTTAGTTAGATTAAGCAATGGTTAAGTAACATGGTGAGATACATTTTTAAATCAGTGTTGTGTTAAATATCCGCCTCCTGTCCTCTTTGTCTGATATTTGTAGCTGTACCACTGCAAGCATTACACCCGTCTGTCATTTCAGCTCGAGTTGTGTTCACTGGACGTTCCTCATCCATTTGTTCTGTTGCCGGATGTAGTGCAAATATATCAGACACAGAATGAGAAGTGGAAGGTGTTTGGTAAAACACAGAGCCTCCCTGGATCAGGACGTCGCTCCAAACTGATGAAAGAGCCGGAGGAAACGGATCAGAGAGGCGACCGAGAGCCACAGCAACTCAAGCAGCTGCAGGAGTTTATGACAAAGAGTGCTCATTGTGACAACAATATCACAGATTCTACACTAATGTGGCTTGAATGGAAAAAAGCCGCTCCTCAAGGAAGACCACATGCAGTCAGACTGAGCTTTGCCAAAACACCTGGAAGATTCTGAGGCAGATGAGACTAAAACGATCCAGCCATCATTTTTAATATTAATATTAATGTTTATGCAAACAAAAAGTGCACAGTGCTGCTAATTTTATTTATTGTTTGTTGGTTTTCAACATTACACACTTTATTCTTTTTCCCTAAATTATGTTAATAATAATAATTTTCTGAAAATATTATGTTCTTTGTGTTTTCATAATTTTGATAATCCATTGCATATTAAAATGGTACTAAAACTGACTATTACCCCCCCAGCACCTGTCAGATCAGAATTGTGCCCCTGGTTACTAGAGACAAATCCCAACAGACTAAAGGCTATAATTAAAGCAAAAGGTTGCTCAACAAAATACTGACACAAGAGGCTGATCCTTTTTCTAGCGCAGTGATTCTGGTTTTAATTTTTTCCTGACATGTTGGCGTTTTATCCTTCACTTGGATGTTATAAGTTGCACTGAGTAAATACAACTGGATAAAACAAAAGCATCTGTGTGTGTGTATGTATTTATATATATATATATATATATATATATATATACACACACACACACACACACACACACAGAACACACACACAAGCCCAACTCACCCATGTCTGTGCTGTCAGGATGGGACTGAGCAACCGAGCACTGATATCCATAGGGTGCATCTGCAGCAAGTAAACAACTCTGCAGCACAAAGAGAAGAACGGGAAAAGAAACAGAGAGAAATACTTCAACAGGACTTCTACCATGTTACAGGACCACTTAAAAGCACTTGGTACAGTTACATCATATTATGTGGTATAATACCAAAATACTTTAGTACCTCATGAGATCAGGATCATCATTTATATTAGTCACACTGTCCTGAAGATTGTCCTACAACAAAGCAGGCATGAATATCAGTCTCGTCTAAGAATGCACAATCATGATAAGCACACAGATATAATCAAGCTGGGGTTTTGGATGGTCAAGCTACAGACGTAATGGCTTTAAAAAAAAAACTCCACAGAACTAAAGATAAATTATAACAATTTTAATTTTGGGTGAAATATACATTTTAATTTGTCGTCAACACAGAATGTGTAATAGTACCCACTGCACCGAGTTTGTGACCGTTTACACTTCAGCAGAAGTTACTCCCATAATTAGTGAAATTGACAGGTTTTCTTTTATGAATGCTACTGTTAAATAGACCTAGTGTGCCTAAAAGATTCAAAGCACTGTTTTATACATGCTGTATGTATTTATTTTTTGTATATTGCATATATTGGTCCAGCCATTTGTAATTTGCATGCATGATCTTTTTTTAATAACGAAGATAAAATAAAACAACAAAAATAAAATTATTGTGAGATATATATACGATATATAGGCTCCTATGTTTAGGTTCAGTAATTTTACTTTAATGGCAATGTATAGGTCCTTTTCTATGCCATTAAAGTGAAATAAATGAACAAACATAGGAGTCTGATAAAAATGCTCATTTTAGATGAAAATTTCAAATGGCACTTAGAGGCTTTTGCATCTGAACTCTTCATATATATATATATATATATATATATATATATATATATAGATAGTGATCATGAAATAAAAGATTTCAGGGATCTCACCCACCCCTAAGAGCAGCTAAACTCAGGCGGTCACTCTTCTTCTGTCCTGAGTTTGTTCATTTATTAGAGAGAAAGCCAGTGGTGGCTCCTGAACATACACTACGCTGAGGCAGATCCTGGGTCAGACTGTCAGCTATATGAATAACTCGGGATTACCAGTGAAACACTGAAATAACTGAACTCATCATGCACAACGCTTCTGCCAGAGGTCTAGTGTGCTTGCGTCATTCAGCCTGAGGGTGGCGCTCTAATGTTGACTGGAAGGCTCTACATACATCTTAAGAGTGCACACATTTATTATATTTATTAGTAGTATTTACAGTCTATAGTATTTATAGTGCTAGAATACTGATTTAGAAAGTTACAAGTAACCATGAGAGAACCACAGTTAGAACTGGCTTATTTAACAAATAATTCAGACTTTTTTTTAGGGGGGTGGTGTTTTTTTAAATATTATCATTATTACGGTTATAAAAATAAGCACCACAACAGCTGTCCTACACATTTTATATCTGGCTTGTCAAGTTATTAGACAGCTATTTTCTCACTCACTGACTCTGCGACAGAAGCTCGATACTATTACACTCGGGAGGATCGCCTTGATCACAGTCTGACGAATTTGCTGAACTGAATATGGCTCTCAATTAGGATGCGGCTTCTTTGCACTATAATAAACACAAAAACTGATCTACATGATGCCACTGATTACTTTTATGATTGTGAAGTGAGAGGAATGAAGAGCGCGTCTCTCTGGAAAAGAGAACTTCGCTTGTCAAGCTAACACAGTCGAGCGGTAGAGTTAGTCAGCGCGGTCAACGACTCGGGTTCAAATCCCAAAAAGGCGTGTATTTTTTATTTTATTTATTTGTTATAATAACAATATTTGGATTAATGGAGATGTGTGTATTCTGCAGTTGTAAGACGCACTGCTTTATGGTTTGTTCCATTAGGCTCTCCAGCAGTGAGACTCGTTCAGTCCCGTCGGATCCAGTGCTTCAGGAGCTTGATGGTGGAAACAGAAATGTGTGAAGCGCTGCTCTTTCACACGGAGACAGTCTGATGCTGAACCTTACAGAGCAGGCGTAGGAAAAGTGTCTGTTTCAGGATAAATGCTTCTTTCGGTTTGGGTTTTGCGATTGGCACACAATGACATATAGAGTATATAATACACGAGAGAGAGAAACTGTTGTTCTTAATTTAGTTTTAGTCCAAAAGTGTGCATATTTGAAGAAATACTGATCTCTTAACACACATTCACTTGACGTTTCTTTAGACAGAATCATCATTTCTATTCTGCATTATGCGATCTGATGAGCATTAGTGTCTTCCAGCGCTCTCAGTCTGTTTTCTCTTCTGCGATCACGACCAGATGAAGCTCACTCATATTGCGCGTTCATAACCCGCCCCGTCTCTTCTGATGACGAGCTTCTATTACTGTGTAACGATGCACCGCGAGCCGGCTGAACACTGACACAAATATGTGAGGATTGAAGTGGGTTGAGATGTTAAACGAATGGCGATACAGTTGGTGGTGGGAGTTTATATGACTGTCTCTGAGGGGAACTGTCTTTAGAAAAGTTTAGATGGTATTTGCTTTTCATCTCGTCTCTGTATAATGAATATTAAAGTACTTTAATGTAAAAAAAGAGGTTATCACTGTGTGAACCAGTTTGAGTGCTCCTCTACTCTGTAAACACGGGACAACAATAAGGAGATCTACTGTAGCAAATACATGTTTGTTCCTCAAGAGATTTTGCAGTGATTTTGTGACCTATTGCACTTACCTTGCCATTCGACTGCCCTGTTTGACACAACCACTTCTCCAGAAGAATGTTCCGGATCTTCAAAAGATCGACACCATTGATGGAGGCAATATCTTTGGCCACGCTGTGAATGTCTGTCCAATTACAGAAAAAGGGAGCTGAGTCCAAATACAAATGTCTTCACACTCACTCACACACACACACACACACACACAAACTCACTCATTCACACGCACACACACACTCTCTCACATTCTCACGCACACACACTCTCTCGCGCCGCACTCACTCACTCGCGCACACGCTTACACAGTCTCTCACACACACACACACACACACACAACTGTTCAAAAGTTCGGGGCTGGCGATTTTTTTATGTTACTGAAAGAAGTCTCAGTAAAAGTAATATTATTAAATATTATTACAATTTAAAATATCTGTTTTCTATTTTAAAGCTACACTATGCAATTGATAATAATAATGATAAATACATATATCTTGTGGAAAGAAACATTGTTTTGGATGTGCTTTGGATCTGCTCCTGCGTGTGGATGAATGTGGTTTAAATACACGTGGCTAAATCCATCCCTAAAAATATAAATTATTCTAAGAGGTTTATTTAAAGTGCATTTGGGTAAAGACTACAATTATGAACTTATTTTCAATATATATAAAAAAAGGGTTGCATAGTGTAGCTTTAATATATTTGAACATGTAATATATTTGAAAGATGCCTTCCATTACTCAGTCTTCAGTGTCTCACAATTCATGCTGTTTTAGTGCTCAAAAACACTCAGTATTAACCAATGTTGAAAAAATGATCTGCAGCTTAATATTTCTGTGGAAATCTGGAAAGATTGGAATGTGGAAATGTTATTTGATGAACTTGTTTTTTTTTTTTTTGGATGAAGACAGACCGTGACAATAAATGTTCAGCTCAGCCTGTCGAAGTGACAAATGATCATTCGCAGGTCAAAACACAAAAAGAAAAAAAAAACTGACCAGCTTTTTAATGATAATTTAATAATTATTTTGACTAGGATTTTATAAGACAATAAAAAGACAATAAGACAGAAAAGCAAACAACGCAACATCACACTGATTAAAGCCATCCCTCCAGCACAGACACAGACACAGTATAGTATAGCTCTAGTCGTTACCAGGGTAGGAGAGGCCAGCAGGGCTAGTCATCCGCTCCAGCACCGAGCTGTGCTCAAACAGAGCGACGATGAGACGCCCCGGCAGTCCTGTGAGCTTCAGCAGCTCTGGAGAGCTGAGCTGAGACGAGAGCAGAGCGTTCTCTGTGGCCGACCGCTGATACTGGAACTGCAGTTTAGAGATCAGCGCTTCACCTCGAGTCTGCAGATTGTGCTGGTGAAGGGTACAGACCGTACAATCAACACAAATGCCCTCACCAACACTGCAAGTCCATAAATACACAGAGAGAGCCGATAACAGATTTATATATTAACAATATAGATTTAGAGTTCTACATTAAGCTGTGAGGGAGGACTTGTGAAATGCTGTCATTCGTTCCCATGAACATGAACTCTGTAAGCAGAACAGATCCAGCTTCGTGCTCTGTGTGAATCTCAGCTAGTCAGCTAGCTATCATGCAACCTTCTTAACACACATTTACTCAGAAGGTCAGAGATTATTACTCATTTTTAGGGCTATGAGTTGATTAAAACAATTAATACTATTTTTAGTATTATCTTGACATGTTAAATGCTATGTTATGAATGTTAAATACATATTGTTGGCTGGTCTTTTCATTAGCAGTGTTTTTCAGTAGATTTTACTTTACACCTGTTGAGTTTCATTCATCAATGAATTTGAGAAGGTACGAAGAGAAATGCTTTTTCTGATCTGATTCTAGTCCTTTAATATCACACAGAACACAATGAATGCATGGATGCGGTGTCCGCATTATATATTTAACAACATTCATCATTCAGTCTTCAGCAGATTACTTTGAATAGTGTTATGAATTTTGACAAACAAATTTATAGTGAAATACACATTCATTTAGGAAATTCACAAAATTAATGCCAAGCACACAATTTTGAGCTTACATTTACCATATTTCATGTGTTATGTATGTGTTGATCAATGTTTATGTGAATAAAACCCTAAATTGAAATATGTTAAGAAGAAACAAACTTTCAGCAAAATTGAATTTTTGGGTGATCTATTTCTTTAGTGTTAATAACTTTGCTGCCTAGTCTTTATTATGCCTCCTCATTACCCATATTTAAATGTAAATTAAATCTTCATATTGTACTATTGTGTAACTTGGAAAAAGCACTAAATAAGTAAAAACAAATACTTCAAAATGTGCACAAATGTTTAGCAGTCACAATATCAGACACCTAAATTCTGATCAGAAGACACGTACATGTTTATCTATTTATCAGAAAGCAACAAACGGTTTTACATTATCACATACATAATGTGTCCCAAAAACAATATAATATTGACATTTTCCTACATACCTCCAGAGTATCAGACTGCAGTAACTTGTGCACGAGTTCCAAACTGAACTTCAAGAAATCGGTCTTTTGTGCACCTGGAATCAAACCATTAAAAATACATACAAAAATATAAAACATCGTTCATTTCTTTTTTTAATGTGATGCCTTCACTCAAGTCCATTACAGCATATCAGACGCCAACGTAAACAATGAAGGACAGATTCAGTGAATAACTCATACTTTGGTCTGTATCGCACTCAAAGCGATTGTATTCCTTTAACAGATTTCTGATATGATGTGCAGTATAATGTGTGACTGATGAAGTGCTGTCACAACACTCGACTAACCTGCAGGAAGGTCCTGGGCAATTTTATGGACTGTGGCTGCAGCAAGTTCCAGATTCTGGATGCACAGCGCGTGTTCAAAGATACTCTGAGTCACACGAGACAACTCTTTACTGGGAGCAACCATCTGGATTTTCTTAGCCTGATCCGTTAGCAAAGGCAAGAGACTCTTCTTGAACACATGGTTCACAGCTAAAACATACAGCTTATCAGGATTAACCTGGGTAAAACAAAGCAAAGAAAAAAGACTAAACATCTTCCCTCTATTTTTTTGTTTATTATATTCACATAACACAGGTCTTGTGAATTTGTCTGGTAAATGATTTTAAACCCCACTACCTAATACTATCCTAAGAGCTGCCTAAATAAGTCAGATATTTACGGCCACACTGGAAACAGAAATACTGCAGGAGTGTGTGTGTCAAATGGCCTTTCACACACTTGCACTACACTGTCTGTCGTCACACAGCAGCACTTGCAGACAGGTCTAGATCTGCATCAGATGTCGGGCTTTTGCTGGCGATCTCCATTAACTAAAACTGTGCAGTGTGTGGGCAACAATCTATGTTTACACTGATTTGTGCTTCCAGAAAACTGCCAGAGCACCTTCAGTGTGAACACAAACCGGAGGCACAATGCTGTGAGACTGTATGCTGGTCAGTGGCGCCTCCAGGACACTTTATTTTGGGGTGGCCAGAGAGCTGCTGTAAAACTCCTCGGGTGGCACACTGAAAATGTTTCGGTTTTAAACTGCATTTGACACTGCTTGGTTACCAACATGGTTTAAAGTGTCTTATTTTGGGTTTAACAATAAATAAACTCATACATGTATATATAACTTTAGGGTAAATGATGATTAAATGATGACAATTTTCATTTTCGGGTGGACAACCCCTTTAACCCTCATGTTGTGCTCATTTTGACCCGGGAGGATTTTTTTATTTTTCCTCCAAAACCAGTTAACGTGAATGTTATCATATTTGTCTATTTATTTGACTTTTTGGGGGGTATTTTCCCACCTTGTTACACTTTGGCGTTCCTCAAAAATTACTGACTACAAAAAAGTGTGGGGTAGAGTTTAAGAGATAAATGCCCCTTGCTGTTGAAATCTGAGGCTACACTTTAGACATTCTGCTAACTCCAAGTAATTCTGCATCTACACATCAGCTAACTCTCATAAGAGTATTAGTAGTTAGCTTAGGGTTAGTAGAATAAGTTTACATATGTTTGCAAAGTGACTTATAGTCAGTACATATTAAGGAGACAGTCTAATACTCTGATGACTGCTAGTTGACATGTAGCTGCAAAGTTACTGAGTCAGTAGAATGTCTAAAATGGATCAAAATAAAGTTACCAATTTTGAAAACAAAATATTATCCAATATTAAATGTACTGTAAATAATTAACATGGTCTTGACAGATGGATGGGGGGCAATAAGAATAATACCTCTATCTTGACAATAATATACAGTACACAATGCAATTGTTTACAAGAGGTTTCTTGGCAAATACATGAGTATTTTGCCCCTTTCGTCTCTACGGACTGACAGGGATGTGTTACTCATGACCGCCGCAGCGGGACACTCGTGGCCTCATGGTTAGAGAGTCTTGTAACCCAAAGGTCGAGGGTTCGAGTCACAGGTCCGGCAGGGATTGTAGGTGGAGGGAGTGAATTAATCTTCCTCAATAACACGACTGAGGAGAGACCCTGGCAACATTTACAACATGGCAAGTAGTTTGAAAAGATTGTGTGCACTTCAGTGATCTTTAGTTAGATGCATTTACATTGTGACTATGGCTCAGAGTACTTGCAATCAACTGTGTCAACTGTATTTTTATTTACAGAAGTGTGGCCCAAATGGCCTCTTGGCTCAGCATCAGGTCAGTGTCTCACTGGCTCTCTGTGGGGTGTTATTGTATTGTTTGTGGCACATTTGATTGTTATAAACGTCTGGTCTCACAAACAGCAGATTGGGTTAAGATTGTTTGAAGGAAGACACGCTATCATCACTGCTACACTACAACCTTCAATAAATTATTCTCTCCAC